AAAAAAAAAAAAAAAAAATCCCAGATGCCCAGAACAAACCCACCATGGCATTCCTGTGCCCTGGAGGCCTCCAGGGCCACACAAAGTGAGATGATCTTAAGTCCTTGCTCTGCCAGAGATCACGGTGCTCCCCCTTGCACCTGGGCTCAGTGACAGCACAGTTCCTGGGACCCGCCAGCACTAAGTGGAGTTCCCCCATCATCTGAGTTAAGGCTCTCAAACCATGGGGTAGCACTAAGGGCCCTCCAGCAGTCTTGGATTCTCAGCCTTGGTGCTCCTGCCTCAGGCCAGCAGGAAGACCAAGAAGGAAGGTGGTACCCTGCTTGCCCAGTGGGCATCCTCTAACATTTTCTCCAACTTTGAGCACACCCAGATCCAGTAGTTCAAAGTGAGTCCCTTTCCCACCAGGAGCCCCCGACCCAACATAGACCCGTGGCCACCTGTCCCCAAGCCAGGAGGCAGAGGCAGAGCCAGCCAGCCACAGTGCTATGGACCTGCCTGTTTCTAGGCATTCGTGCTCATGGATCAGAACCAGGACAGCTTCGTGGACAAGGAGGACCTGAAGGACACCTACACCTCCCTTGGTGGGTGTGGGCAGGAGGTAGAGTGGACATCCACCCCAATGTCCTTGCTCTTTCTCTGCCAAGCAAGGGCACTTGCCCCAAAGGCACTGAGGAGTGTTTTGCCTCCTCAAGGAGAGAGACCTGCCCCAGGTTCTCTAGAGCTGGTGGGGTGTCAGGTGGACAGGACCAGTGGGCCAGCCCAAGCATGTGTGCCTGGGATAGGCTTATGAAGCTGGGGGAGGGTGTAGGGGCTTGTCAGTCCTTCAGAGCCCGGGAGTCCCTTCTGCCCTCTCAAGTAACCCCTGCCTCACTCCTTCCTGCCCTGCCCTGGGAACTGGGAGGTTCCCTGGTTTCCTGCCCTGGTTTCTCCCCAGGGTTAGGGTCCAGGGTGAATGCCCTCCCTCCATGGCCTCCCTTACACCTGAGCATGGAAAGCAGCAACCCCTAGCCTCGCCCTGCTCTGTGCCTCCCCTCCAGGTTGGAGAAGGGGACCCCTCCCTAACCACACCTCACACCCCAGGGCTGAGGACCTGCCCCATGGGATCATGTGGCAGTCAACAGAGGGGGCAGGGGTGACATTTCTGCCCCGTGACACCACAACCCACCCCTCTGCAACAGGCAAAACCAACATCAAGGATGACAAGCTGGATGCCATGCTCAAGGAGGCCTGGACCCATCAACTTTATCATGTTCCTCAACCTGTTTGGGGAGAAACTATCAGTGAGACCCCTGAGACCCCTGTGTTCCTTAGGGTTAGCACCTAACACCTAAAAATCTAGACACTTAGGCAAAAAAGCACTCCCCTCAAAAAATGCCTGGGGGTAATCCTGAAAAGTCCTGAGCTCCAAAACTCACCTCCCAGCTGCCAGCACTGGGTGGCCTCTGTTCCACACTCTCAGACCTCTGGCCCCCAGCACACATAGAAATGACAGGAGGCCCCCAGAAGTGGACAGTGGTCTGGAGCCCCGGGTGGATGGCACTCTGAGGCCTCCCTGCCGCAGGCACAGACGTGGAGGAGACCATCTTAAATGCCTTCAAAATACTGGACCCGGAAGGCAAAGGCAGCTTCCTCAAGAGCTACCGACCATAGGGCAGCATACACGGGATTTCACGAGGAGATACAGGTTCTCTGAAAGGTGGGAGCAGGTTCGGCGATGACAGTCAGACAAAAGCACTCAACACCGAGGTGAAGTTTGCCAATGCTGCTGCAATTTTATTTCTAACTCCAGGTGTTTATATACTAGTTTCAAGGGCACATCACAAGAGTGATTCCAGTCACAGGCAGGCATAAGATAGACAATAGTACTGTAAAAATTAAGACCACAAGGTCAAGGTAAGACCACACCTATATACCATCACAAAAGCTAAGACCATTAAGTCAAGGTAAGACCACACCTATATACCATCACAAAAGCTAAGACCATTGAGTCAAGGTAAGACCACACCTATACGCAGTCAGAAGGGGGGAAGTTTGTAAGACAAAGGACTGGCTTTAGCATGTCACCTTCAGGTTCACCTTCAGGACTTCACAGTCCGGGGCTCAGGGTCAGCACTTTGGCCGCCCATCCTCTTGTGCCTCAATATCTCCACATCTCTAGGAACATCTAATTGTTCCTAACCTTTCTTGGGCCCAGAATACAATTCTACAGATAATGAACAAATAGTAATAAAGACAAAATAGAACAGAATTATAGATGAACCCAATGTCCCCAAACTGCAGGCAGAGAGGCCAGCTATTCTCTTCACGGCTGACTTTGCATGCGGTGTGTGCCAAGGACCTCCAGGAGGCTTAACCCCGTGGGGACGATACCTCTGGTCTGGTTTCTGCCAGGTGACCGGCATTGTCACGCAGACTCTACTGGCGTGGTCGTGGCACTCAAGGAGTAGCGAGCGTGGGTTTCCTCGGGGCCCCACCCCAGGGTGTGAAGAGCGTGCAACCCAGACAGGAGCAGGGCCAGCCCACACCTATCCTTCAGGGGCCATTCAGAGACCGAGAGCCCAGTCCTTGGGTACCAGGGGGAGGCCACCCGTGCTTTCTTAGGGACCTGGGATCATGGTTCATCCCAGTACTGCTCCATCCTCAGCTGGTTATGGAGTGTGGTTTGTGGGGTGTGTGCCCTCAGATGAGGTGCAGGAAGGGAATATTCCAGCAGCCTCTGCCCCCATCAGCTGCTCCCAAGGCTAGGCCTTCAAGTATCAACAGGCTCTGGTGACCACTGGGCACCCAGGACTGCAGTGGAGGTGGGGTTCAGACCCACAGGGGAGTCAGGGCGGGCACTCAGCAGTCTCCTCGTCCTTCCTTCCTCAGCATCAAAGGGCTGCTGATGTCCCAAATTGGCAAGATGACCGCAACTGAAATGCCTGCACCCTACTGCACCCTCCCAGCCTCTGCAGACCAAGCATGGTGGGGGCAACCCTGAGTCAGTCTGAGAGTGTCGCAGTGCCACCAGTGCAGGACAGGGGGCACTCTTACAGGCTTGGGGGACTCTCCTGGAGGGACAGAGCTGGCTGGGAGCACTCAAATCAGAACAGAAAGTACTCAGTCCTTTGTGGGCTCACAGCAAGGCTGTCTGAACCCCAGCCCAAAATCCACAACTCCAAGCCAGTGCCACCTGGGACCCCTGCACACTTCACAGAACCCAAAGGCTGGAACTGGACACCTTGGCACCCCTGATCCCTGAGATGGGAAGGGAACTAGAGACCTGGTGGCCTGAGGTCCTGGGTCTGCAGGCCCCACCCCACCCTACCCTACCCTCAACCCTCCCTGCTGCTCTGCCCCACTCCGCCCCACTCTGGTCCCAGCCCTGCAGTCCTGCCCACACCCCCCAGAAACACTACCAGTAGTGGCTCCGGTCCAGGAATCTGTATTTGGGCATGGACTGACCTGACCTACTGCTCCAGGTGGATCTGTTGCTGTTCACCTCTGAGGAGGCAGCGGGCAACATGGACTACAAGGTGCTGAGTTACATGCTCACCCACGAGAGGAGGAGTGATCCTGGCCAGGCTGTGCTGGCTCAATGAACACGGACCCAAGACCCACCTGTGCCTGTCCATTATACTGCAGGGGCCTGGGCACCCACGAGGGACAGCTGGGAGGTGGCTGGGCTCCTACTGGGTGGCCCCTCACCTGTACATGCCACTGGCCCACCCAACCTACCCAGATCCCCACCTCCTACAGGCGCCATCACACTGCCCTCCTGACCGCGCCACCTGGGCCAGGCCTGGTCAGGGTCCACGCAGCAGGGTTCTCTGGGCTATAGCCAAGGTCCATCTGGGGCCACAAGGCCATCCTGCCTTGCCTAGGATGCCCAGGACCTGAGGCAGTCCCTCCTGTCAGCTCATGGGCTGCAAGCCAAAGTTCTTCCTTCACACATGTCCCTGGTCACAGTCCTGGAGAGTCTGGGGGGCTTCCAGGGGAGCTGGCAAGGCAGGAACTTCCTGGGGAGCTTCCTGGGGAGCCTCAGGGGGTGGCTTTGGAGTTAGGCTTGGAGTCCTGGGTGCAGGGAGCCCTTCTGACTCAGCCTGCAGGCGCCGGTATGGGGTGTGAAAGAAGAGCACCAAGGCACAGGTGAAGAGGGCGCACAGACCAGCCAGCAGCAGCAGGGACACTGTGGACACAAGCATAGCTCTGTTCTCAGCAGTCACAGCAGTGCCAGCCCAGCCTGTGTGGCCTTGATGGCAGAGCCCCTTAAGTTCCAAGCCAGCTGCACACTAACCCTGACGACCACAGAGCCGTCTGCGACAGCCCCACTCCCAGCCCCAATGGCTGGGATGTGTATAGCCCCAGTACCCCAGACATGAGTGTGCAGGGCCCACCATGACACCAGCTCACTCCCAGCTGCCCTCAAGTCTCTCTGTTTCTCCTTCCCTGGTATTAAGAGCTCACCTAAGGGGCACTGAGACTGGGCTTTCCCCCAATCTCTAGGCTGCACCCAACCAGCTGAGCCCAGAGCTCTTTGAACCCACCAGGAACCCACCCATCAAGGAGGAGAAAGTCACCTCTAAAAGACAGGCTAGGTGTTTAGGGGCGGTCTTCCCAGACTGACCTGGGACTGGCTCCTTACATCCTTGGCTTGACCCTCTAGGGGCCTGGGATGGACACTCACCTGTCCAGTCCAGTGAGTCCTTGCCATGCTGGCAGGTGGAGAAGGATGGCTCTGTGCGTGGCACTGTCAGCACTGTCAACAGCACCATGATAAGCATGCCCTCGGCCTGCCTGAACACACACAGCCCTCAGTCCAGGAGCCAGCACCACACAGCCTCAGAGCAGGATACTGTGCTCAGAATGGGGGCCCAGGCCCGGAGGGTGAGAGAACACTCACCCCAGCACGAAGACCAGGCCCGTGGCAGCTCCCTCACCCACAGGGAAGGAGCACTCAACTGCCAGCTCCATGGCCACGGGTGCCACTGCAAAGCCGAAGAGCCCAAGTAGGGAGCAGATGGCAGCTAGTGCGATGGCCTGTCCCTGCAGCTGGGCCACCTGCGGGGGAGAGACAGTGTGGGCATCAGTCAGATGGGGCCTCCTGCAGGCAGAGGCCAGGCCAACCCCTGCCTGGCACCCCTCCCCTCTACCCCGCAAGGTGGTCTCGGTTCTAGGGACTCTCACCAAGGAAAAGGCCACACAGGCCAAGGAGGCCAAGCAGAGTCCTATCTTGGTAGCCTCAGTGAAATGCTTGGTCCGATCCACGTACAGGCCAAGAATCAGTGCTCCCAGGATCCCAAACACAATGAAGAGAGCCCCACAAAGGCCTGAAAATTCCTGGAGGAGGGAGGAAAGGCTGCAAACATCTTGGGGCAGGGAGCAGCCATGCTGGTGTAGGGCCCAAGGCCAGGAACCGTGGCACCTGCTGCAGGAAGGGCTGGACCCTAGGGCCAATGTGCCTCAAACCACAGGCAGAGGGCCAGAGGGAAGAGGGCAGAGGTGTGGAGACCATGACCCAGGTACATGTAAGTGGCCACCACCTCCATGGTCTCCATGAGGCATGGACATTGAACTAGGGGACAAGGCAATCTCAGCAGAGACAGTCCCTCCCAGGCAGAGATGGCACTCACATTGGAGTAGCCACTGGCACAGAGGATCTGCTCCAGGAGGGCTGAGAAGCTGGAGAAGACTCCGATGCCACCCCCAAAGCACACAGCCAGGATGATGTAAGCTTTGTTCCGCAGGAGCTGGAGGAAAGGTGCCATTCAGTCCAGGAGCTGGGGCTTCTGGCTACAGCTCTTCCCCCCAACCACAGCCAAGCACCCACCAGCCAAAGCCCGGGGAGAAACTTCTCTGAGGTGGAGCTGGCCGCTCCAGTGGAGGGTGGGGTGGGAGGCACACCCTCCCAGATACAGGCACTGGAGAGCAGGCAGGCAAGGCTGGCAGGGATGATGTAGACGCCAAGCTGGGGAGAGAGGGTGGGGTCACAGAGGCCACGTGGACACATGACCCCTGTGTGCCTCAGCCCTGCTCGGCCCTCCATAGCTGCATGTTGCCTTCATCGACCCCATGGCCTGTGGTGGGCTGCACCACCCCACTCTTACCTTCACCAGGGGGCTACATGCAAAGCCCCAGCTTTCAGCCCAATTCAGCCACCTGATGGCCACCTGAACATCCATGTAAGTAGGCCATGCTAACAAACTCAGCTATGTCATACAGGTGTCCATTCACACACGTGTACACACAAACCAAAACCTGCATGCAAATACATACACACACACACACACACACACACACAGCACATGTGTATAAAAGCCAAAGATAGGCACATTCAACATGTGCTCAGCACACAGTTATACACACCACATGCACCATGCATATATGTAGGACCCACAGCATGGGCACCACACATGTGCACCTTTTGAGTTCCCTCACCATCAAGGGGATGTCCTCTCCCTTCTTCACCAGGGCAGGTGACAGCAGGTTGGCCACAAGGATGCCCAGGGGATTTGCTGGGTGGACAGATGGGCAAAGAAATGCGTCAGCCAAGCTGTGGCCAGTACTCATCTCCAGCCCCCAGGGAAACCTTCCTGGATGATGCCTTGGCCTTGGCCACGGAGCTCCAAGTGAAGGCCCCGAGCTGAGCACAAGCTGGCGAGGGCCTCCCCACAAGACTCACACATGGTGGCAATCATGTTGGCTGTGGCTCTCTGGTGCTCTGGGAACCACAAGGCAGCCAGTTTTGCCGGAGAGAAGATGACCAGGGTCTGGGCCAGGGCACAGAGGCTCTGGCCAGCCATGAAGAAGGCAAATGGGCTGGGGATCCCAACAGCCACGCAGGGCAAGGCACGCAGAGCACTCCCCACAAAGTTCAGCCACGAGCCCAGGATGGTCTGCAGGGACAGTCCAAAGGCTGCTGGCCAGCCCTGGAGCCCCTGGGTGCCCACCCCAGCCCCTAAGGGACACCAACTTCCAGCCACCCCCACTGCCCGACAGCTCTGCTGGGGCTCTGAACAATGGAGCTGGTAGACCCTGGTCAGTGCAAGAGATCATAGCTCCCAAATCCACACACAGGGCCCACCAGCCCCAAAGCAGGCTGGGGGCAGGGTCTGACTTACTGCTGCACGGAGCCCCACAAAGTCCAGGACCCAGATGGCTGCTATGCCACCGGGGATGGCCACCACAAAGTAGATGAGTGACAGCCAGTTGACCTGCTCCGTGGACAGGAGGAAGTGCTGGGCAATGGCATCTGCCACAGGTGCAAAGCTGAGCCACAGCTGTGGAGACAGGCAGGCGTCAGCCAGGGCCACAGATGCCACCGCCAGCTCCGCCCTGCTGCCCGACCTGGCGAGCCTAAGGGGACAGTGTGGGTAGCCCTGCGAGGGCTGTGGGGACTCTCCCAGGCCCAGCACGGCCTCTGGGTCTTCCCGCCTGAGACCAACTCTGCCCTGTCGCTCTTGGGAGAGCATCAGGCAGAGGACCAGCCTGGAGGCAGACACGGAGCAGCCTGAGGGCTGTATGCAGCGCATCCACCACGTGGGAGGACAAAGGCAAGAGGTGTGGAGGTCCCACGTGTGAGGGAGGCACTTGCAGCATTGTCGAGGGCCAATGAGGGGTCTAACAGGCCAAGGACAGAGCTGAAGGGACAGTAGAGCTCAGCCAGGATGCTGGGAGTCAGTGGCACCTATGCCTGTGTGTGAACCGGTGATGAGCAGCTGGGCTGTGCGCTGGCCCTACCTTCAGATCTGAGTTGCGCAGGTGAGGCCTCCAGCCTGAGGCGGGATCAAGTACCAGGTGCAACCCACAGAGCCCAAGTAGCAGAGGGTAGGGGAAGCCAAAGGAGGAGCCATCAGGCTCAGTGCTGGAGGGAGGAGGCAGCTGGTGGCTTAGTGTGTCAGGAAGCACACTTCCTCATCCAAGCCTCTCCAGAGCTGCCTCAGAGGCAGAGCAGCAAGATCAGGCTTCCCCACCACAGACACTCACATGGAAGGGAGCTTGGGTAATGATGCCTTCTCTTCCTTTGCCCTCAGATTTCTCCGGGCCCAGGCCGCACTTTTGCAGGCCAAGCCCAGCACAGGAGGTATGGTCTGTGTACACAGCCCGCTCCCCAAACCAAACTCAGCCAGCCTTCCATCAGCCTCACAGCTCTGTCCTTGTCCACCCTGAGCTGTGGCCATGGGTGGGCGGGGCAGAGATTTATCTAAAAGCAGCAGGCAACAAGGGTGCAGAGGACAATCAGATTCCTCCAGCAAGCACCCAGCCTTGACCAGCACACCCCTTCTTGCGAAGTGGGTGGGCAGACTCCCATCAGAATTCTGGGTGTCTCCCATCCTCACCCCAGTCATCCTCTCACAGCATAGCAGTCCCGGTCCCAGCTACAGGCGAGGAAGTGTGGGGGCTATGGGAGCCTCCTGCTCACGGATGGGACCCAGGCTGGGATCAGCACAGCTCTAGGTCAGAGCTAGACTTTTCTATAACAGCAGGACCCCACCCAAATTCCCAGGAACTTCCCGGAGGCCAAGGAGACCCAGCCTCAGGTGACCCACCCAAAGCCAGTTACTCACCCTCAGACTCTGCACACCAAGTCCTGAACCAAGCCAAGTCCTGGCTCAACCTGACGGGCAGTACAGCAGAGAAATTCCCGGAGTTGCTGCAGCACCAGACCCCAGGGGAAAAGGCCCTGAATGCCCACTGGGCTTCCCACTTGGGCCAAGCCTGGACTCCAGCCCCACATAGCCTCAGCTTCCTGGCCAGCCCACAGGTCGCCTGAGCTGCAGGTCTCCTGCCTGTTCTAGAGGCCACACCTTCCTCACTCCCGGCAGGGTCCTGCACTCACATGGGGAGATGTGGTGGCAGCCTGGGAGAGGAGATGTTCCAGTGACCACAGGTTGGAAGCCCCCATGGCAGCGAGCCCTGCAAGTTACCCTGAGTCTGGGGGTGGGGGGAAGGGCGTCCCCTGAAGTGTGCCGAGGTGCTATGGTCCCTGTCCAAGAGCACAGAAGTCTAGCCTGGCTCTGGGGCAGGGCAGTGGGTCCAATGGGCTGAGGAACGGGGATCCCAGGCCCGGACAGGCCCTTCCCTTTCCCCTCGGGGGCCATACCATGGCATTGGAGCAGCTCAGTAGGCTGACGGCCAGCAGGAAGAGCCAGCGCCGCGCATAGGTGCGAAGAGTCCCCGGCCCGTCCCCGGGGTGCACTGCTGTCATCGGCCCGTCCGTGGAGTACACTGCTGACCTCCGCTGGTCTCCTGGCATCCCTGGCCCGTCCCCGGGGTCCCCCCCCAGTCCCTCGCCGGTCTCCTCTGTCCCGCGCAGTCTCCGCGCCATTCCCGAGTTCCCCTGCAGTCCCCAGCCCTTCTCCCTCTGTCATCAGCCCGTCCCTGGCGAACCCCTCCGTCATGGGTCAAGCCCAGCAATCCCACACCACCTCCGGCCCGCTTCCCCAAGTCCCGGCCTTCTGACCCGAGAGCTCGCCCCGTTCTGCTTTAAGGGCGCAGCGCGGAAGTGGGCGGGACCTGGAGAGCAGAGGCGGGACAATCGAGTCGGTCTAGCCCCCTCCAAACCCGAGAGTGTTGACGCGTCGGTAGGCGGGGCAGTGGGTGGAGTCCCAACCTTAAAACCTCGAGGGTCTGAGGCTGAACTGCAGACCCTGCTGTAGGCCCAGTAGGGGATAATGTCCCCTCCCGCAGGGGACACAGCTGAGTGGGGGCCGCGGGGATGCGTGTAAGAAAAGGGGCCTAAAGTCATTCTGCCTTAGCAGAGTCTGCGTTCTTGAAAGGACCCCAAATTCCTGAGGTCCCAGCAAGTCGCAGGGAGGGGCTGGCCTGGAATAGGAGGCTGCAGTCAGTTTGCAGACAACCAGCCAGACTTGCTCCGGGAAGGCGAGAACTGGGGTGGGGTCCCGCGGAAGATGGGGGCAGGACCTCTACACACATACACGTACACACACCCCACACACAATCTGGTGTCCCCTGAGAAACTCCCTGAGCAGAGGGGCAGGTACCGTTATGTCAGTTCAGGTGGAAGCAGCAGAAAAGGGGAGTCTTGTGCCCCTGGGCCTGCCAGGGGTGGGGACTTCCTGGTCAGGGGTAGGGATAGGAGTTTCTCCAGCCAGGAGACCTCCTGCCCTCTTGCCTTGCATCCTGTGGCCTGGCCCTCTATATTACTCCTGCTCTCTGTCCTAAGGCCGGACACTTGTCAGATTATCACTGTGCAGACTTCAGCATGTGTGCACGTTCTTGCAGGGTATAGTGGACCTGCAAGATGAAATCATCCACCACAGATCCCTCTCTGAGGACCCCTCACAGCCTTCCTCCACGGCCAGGTGCTGTCTTTGTTTTCAGACTGGGTTACCCCCAGCCCACCTGGCAGATGGGAAGGGGCCATATGGGTTTCAGTGTTGAGGAACCTGGCAAAGGCAAGGCTCTGCCCCTCACCAGCTGCAGACCTGGAAGGCGTTTTGAGCTGTCACCATGGGACAGGGTGTACAGTGGCTGCTGAGCTCCTGCCGCCATCCTAGCTCTTGTGAGAGGGAAAGGAAAGTTCAGCATGGCTGCAGGACACAGACCAGTCCACAACAGTCGTGTTTCTGGAGACTGCACCGACATGGAACATTTGGAAGCCACACTTAAAGACAAAATACATTTACAGTTACTTCAAAGAAATTAAATTCTCGGACATAAACTCAACATTTGTGTGCTAGTACTTATATAATACTAAAAATGAAAGAAATCAAGATCTAAAGAAACGAAGAGACATGCCATGTTCACGAATGGGAAAAATCAGCATAGTGAAGTTGTCAGTTCTCCCTAAATCGGCTTATAGGTTTTTTCCTATTTGTTTGTTTCTTTTTGTGGTACTGGGGGTTGGACCTGGGGCTTTGTGCCTTGCTAGGCAAGGGCTGTACAACTAAGTTACATTCCTAGCTCCTCTCCCCTCCTTTTTAAAATCTTGACACAGGGTCTCACTAAGTTGCCTAGACTAACCTCAAACTTGTGATCCTCCTGCCTCCTGAGTACCTGAGGTTAAAGGCATGCATGCCACTGTGCCCAACTGACCAACAGGTTTATATCCATGCTTTCTTCTCAAACCAAGCACGAAACTGTCATATAATGCAGCAGTTGTAGTCTTGGGCATTTATCCCTGAGAGAAAAAAAAAAAAATTCGTGTTCACACAGAAAGCTGTAACCAAACCTGTGGTAGCTTTATCTGTGATAACCAAAGGCTGGAAATCTCCAGAATTCCGTTAAGCAAGCATATTACTCAGTAGGAATGAGCTGTTAATACTTGCAAACATCCAGATGTATTCCAGGCAATTACGCAGGATGGAAAAAACAGCCCAGCCCAGGCTATACTGTGCGGTTCCACTTGCTATGGCTGGATGTGGTTTAAGCATGTCCCTGTCCCCACAGAGCTCATGTGCTGGAAGCTGGGTCTCCAGGAGGTAGTGTTGAGGTGGATGAAGTGTTCAAGGGTGGGGCATGGTGGAGTCTCCAGGCCATTTGGGGTGCTGCCCTAGCAAGAGGTCATTACAGTTCTCTAGCTTTCAGGGGACCCCAAGTTAGTTCTAGGAGAGGTTACTAAACAAAAAAAGAGAGGAAGAGAAAGCCTGGCCTCTGCCCTTGCCCCAGCTTCCTGTCTTCATGTGATCTCTGCTCTCTGCACACCTGGCCATTAGAATGCCACCCAGTGTGACATTGTCACAGGCCCAAGCTGACATGAGCACCAGGTCCCTGAATATCCAAAACTGTGAGCTGTATTGGTCTCTGTTCTTGCAAGATTATCTAATTACAGGGCCAGGGATTTAGCTCAGCACTTCGGTGCCCTGCCTTGCAAGTGCAAGGACCCGAGTTCAATCCCCGGTACCAAAAAAAAAAAAAAAAAAAAAAAAAA